CTGCCCTACAGTGATGCCATAGAGATGAAGATGATCTGCCTGCCCTACAGTGATGCCATAGAGATGAAGATGATCTGCCTGCCCTACAGTGATGCATAGAGATGAAGATGATCTGCCCTACAAACAGCTATGGAAGTCTGTGAAGCTTTTAAAATCTCCTGTCATATTGTCAATTAAAGACCATTTATGCCTGCAATATTCCTTAAAAAATATCAAATGGTTCCAAAAAACAAGGCATTTGTCATTCAAACATTTGTATACATTTGTTCAATGACACCTGGGATGAGCTGTGTTGGAAGAATGGATGGGTGAGCTGTGACTGGAGGGCAGGGAGCAAGCAATTTTGAAACCCCGGAGTAGCATAAGTTCCAGAGTGTGGACAAACCTTCTGGGTCTGTAGTGGAGAATGCGCAGCACTTGGAGAGCAGGTCTCTAAGGATGACAAGAGTGGGACTGTGGGGCAAAAGTCCAAGAGCCAAGTGGCCATGACCTTGGCTTTCAACCATGCCAACATTACCAGATGCTGAGAAAAGAAGCCAGAAGACAGGTGAGAGAGGTGGTGAGGGCAAACTTCACCTGCCTGAAGTTTCCCAGGGCACCATCTATTGTCTCGAGTGAGGGCGAACCTACGCCAGGTCCTCTCATTGACCTTTCATTCCTTCAAGGACAGACCTGTGCCTGCCACCAGACTTCCAAGGTAACCAAATCAATGCTAACAGTTCCATTCTGTCCTGGGATGTATGTGCTTTTCCAGTCTGGCCTGGGAACTTGACCACTACTTATAACATTGATTTCCTTCCTTCCTTCCTTCCTTCCTTCCTTCCTTCCTTCCTTCCTTCCTTCCTTCCTTCCTTCCATCCTTCCTTCCTTCCTTCTTTCTTTTTTTCTTTTAAGAAAGAAGGGAAATAATACAAATAGGGCTCAAAATGGATTTTGGGGAGAAAATCAATTTTAGGATAGAAGCTAAAATGGATGATAGATAAATAGGTTATATAATTGCATCCTCCAATAGACCACAACTTGTAAAGTTGTTTTATTACTCAAGGTAAGTAGCTTGTCCCAGAATAAACAATGGTCCTTTAAGTGGAAGCATTTCATTTGCTAAAACTCTTCATGCTCTTTGTCGCTATTTGCATGATAATGAAAACATTTCTAAGCACAGCTTGTGAGCCCTTTTCTAAGCTGCTGTGTGAGCACACAGCTCAATGAGTTATAGTTATTCCAGAATTCATCCCCTATTCAGTCTGATACCCACCTGCATCACCCTCAAGCTGACTCACTTCTCTGGCTGGTTTGAAATCGACAACCTCTGCTAACCCATCACTAAGCTCTCCTTTTCCCTTTGATAAAATTCTGATCTTTTAAACGCAATGAGGAACAGGGCTCTCTGGGTACCTCATCTAATGCCACCCTTACTTCTGCCCACATGCACAGTGACACATTCTTGGAATCTCCGTTTTTACACATCAACGGCCAAATGAAGTCATAAGAGAAAAATGCAGATAACTGCATTGCAATGGGATGAGGTTTATACTCTTCATTAGAAGTTTGGGCATCAGAGGCCAGTAATGCTCAGCAGTGGGTCTTAGGGGAACCCTCACTTGTAGCCTTTACAGATTTCTGTGATGTCACTATCCCAGTCATGATAGAGCCTGTACTACCAAGTAATGTCACTGAATGTAAAGGTGACTGACTACCTCTAAGAGACTGCCACAGCACATTGTTTATCTATCTTCACCATATCTGATTCAGAAGTAACACAAAAACATAGGTAACATTTAAGGTAGTAATAACGATCAAGTGACAAATTTGGAATATTTATTACTTCTGATTTTGATAGATGTAATTGTTATCATCATCATTATTGTTGTGTGTGTATATGTTTATTTGTATGTGTGTGTGCAGGTGTGTGTGCGCGAGTGTATACATGTGTAAGGAGGCTGGTGGACAATGTCTAGTGTTGTTCCTCAGGACTTTTCCACCTGGTTTTTTATTTGTTTTGCGTGAGACAGAGTCTCTCTCTGGTCTAGAACTCACCAAATAGGCTACACTGCCTAGCCAGCAATCCCTAGGAATCAGCACGATTCAATTCCTTCCTAGGGCTGGGCTACAAACCTGTAACTTTTTGTTTTAAATATAAATCCTAAGGATTGAACTTGGGTCTTTGTGCTTACAAGGTGTACTGTTCAGTTTTTATTGTCAACGCAACACAACAGTCACCTGGATAAGAGGGAATCTTAGTTGAGGGGTTGCCTAGATCAGATTGGCCTAGGGCCATGTCTTGACTGTCTTGACTGATGATTGATGGGGTAGGGCCCAGCCCACTTGAGCAGTGCCATACCTCGGCAAGGGTCCAGGCAAATGGATGGTAGACAGCAAGCCTAACAGTAAGTGGTATTCCTCTATAGTTTCTGCTCTGGGTTCCCACCTTGAGTGAGTTCCTGCCTTGAGTTCCTGCCTTGAGTTCCTGCCTTAGCTTCTCTCAATAAAGAACTGTAACTTGCAAACTGAAATAAACTCTTCCCTTCCAAAGTCACTTTGGGTCACAGTGTTTATCACAGCAACAGAAAGCAGACTAGGACACAAGACTTCACTACTGAGCTTTCTCCTTGCTCATCATCATCATCATCATCATCACCTTCATCATCATCAAAAAACTGGAGATTTAATCCCAGGCCCACACAAATGTTCTACCGAAGAGATTTCACTTCCCTTCCATGATTTCTGTTTAAGACATGGTCTTACTATTTAGCACAAAGTGGCTTCAAACTTTCAATCTTCTTATCTCTGCCCCTTGGGTGCTGGGCTTACAGGCATGTGTTTTCCTACTTAGTTATTTGTTTAATTTTTAATTTTGATTTCCTTAGCAACTGGTTCACAAATCTCCTGAAATTTGACAATAGCTCTTCATGGGCCAGTGCCATGATAAACCAGTGGTCTATTAACACCAATCTGATTTGGACAGGGAACTCTCTTAACATCAGATTAAGTAGGGATCTGTATTGGAAAAGACTTCCTGAAATGATGGCTATACAGAATCTGTCACTGTCAGATCTAGGACATAACCAAACTTTCTTTAAAACCCATATTCATCTCTGAACCATCTGGGTTTTCTTGGGAAATTCCCACCCTAGTGTTGACCTTACTCAAAGCTACTAGATTGTCAAACGCTGGTAGGCTCATTGCCAAAGGTAGCACAGCTTCAGATGTAGTTAATGGACATGCAGAAGTCAAGAGGGAGACCAGCCTGTTATTCCGCATCACTGTTTCACATATGTAAAAAGTAATGAGGTTGTATTTGCTTGATTTAACCATGTTTAGATTTAAAGGGGAGTAATTTTCTAAAACAATAACATAAATCCCAAAGCAGAAAACCTGTCGCTTGCGAGCAGACAGAGCCAGAATAAAGCATTCCAAAGCCCGCCCCTTCCTCTTTCTCTGGATGGCTGGTCTTCTGACAATCCAAAATATTATTTTAGGAGCTTGAGACTCAGGGAGAGGGCATAGACAATCCCAGGAGGAAAGGTTACAATCACAGTTTGGTGAAGAGAAAATACTCTCACGATGATAATACGCTGTGACATATTGTATTAAAGTGTGGCTTTTCCATGAGAAATTCCCCATCATCGGGTTCTCATGTAGGACAGGACTAAAGTCGCCCCTAATCTTCAAATCCAGTGCCTAAATGCTAGTGTAACCCGCTGTGAATCGCGGCTCTCCTACAAATCCTACACACTGTAATACTTTCTGCACAAAGCTGAATCCATCTGCCAGGATAATTCCCAGCAAAGAGAATTACAAAAAACCCAAACAAAAGTAAACAGAATTCTTTCTCTCCTCCACAAGCGCAGCCCATCTTTAACTTGTATTTCACGTTCTGCCTCACACAGACTGTCCATGGTAGGGTTAAAGAGCTCACGCTGAGGCTAGATGCTTCAAGAGAAAAAGAAAATGAAAAGTGTATGACACCCTTGGCAGGGGATGTTTTGAAAGCTAACTTGGAATGGTTTGTTTAAAATGTACAGCCAGGGACTTTTCACCACGGGAAGCTCAGCTGAGCTTCATCTGAGGACTCCTGACCAGGGGGGGCAGGACCGTGTGCTGGGAGGGCAGACCTCCACCTTCAAACCCTTCACACTTGGCCTCCAGCTTCCACATCGTCTGGGTGCACTGTGCCGCTTCCCACGTGTGTTATTTTTATGAGAAGTTTTAGGTGGCTGTTTTCTGATTTGAGATCATCTCATACTTCCTGATAAGACCCTACGGCTCAAACATCTGTGGGATCATACCATCGTGATTTGAGATTACACCATTGTGATTTGGGGTGTTGCCGGTTAACTTCTGTTTCCCAGATCTTAGAACGAATGACCTTATCGTGAATAATAAAGGTAGCCAAGTTCGAGTCAACAAATACAACTAGAGTCATTGTAAAAGGGGTGAACTTGGCCACAGAGACGGACATACACGCAGAGGAGACAGTGGGATGAAATGAATAGAGGGTATAGTCAGCCATGAACTAGTGAGAAAGGACACACCTTAGCCTTGCCTCCCAACCCCCAGGAGGACCTACCCGTGGACAGGCGTTGACTGTGTGTGGCTATATTACATGGTGCTTTGGTTCCCAGCCATGGCAGACCAATACACCAGCAGGGCTGAGAGGGCCAGGAAATTAGGCAGTATTCTTCCCTTTCTCCTGGACATCCTTTCCTCCCTGACTATTCTCTCAGCCGCTCAAATTGACATTACAATTTGTCTACGTTTATGTTTTTTCTGGGGCATGACTCAGTTCTCTCAGAGAGGACACCGAACCTCCATGTAAGGTAATGGGCACATCAACCTTAACATCCATAAGTAATGCAGCAAATAGCTGGGTATTTGGGCAACAGATTTTCAAACTGAAATGCTTTGCTGTTACTGTGTATCTCTGCTTTGGAGGACAAATCATAGCTTGCTATGGTGGTACATGTCCGTGATCCTTGCATTTTAGGAGGTAGGAGCAGGCAGTTCAGGAGTTCATGGACATCCTTGGCTACATATTGAGCTCGAGGCTATCTGGGCTACTTGACCCCCTACCTTAAAACAACAACAACAACAAAAAAGTTGATGTGTGATACATAACAAAATTATTGATAATGCCCAAAAGCTAGAAATAGTTCATTTTATAAGAGATGGCCTTCACATACTAAGATGCCATGTAGGGGTCAAGAACTAATTATGTTAAAATCAATGAAAGGAATGGGGAGACATATTTCTTCCTGATTTGTAGGATTGTGGATGATTTAAAGCTTAAGCAGCAGCATTTTCTAAATTCTCTGCAAAGAACACAAATAACTACCACAATTAGGAAAACCCAATAAACATGGATCTCACAATGCAGAAAATAGTTTTTGTGTATGGGCAATAGGCAGTCTTTATTTCAAATATTTCCTAAAACACCGTTGTTATTTCCAGGGACAAGAACCAAGATCCTCTTCTGCAAAAACTTCGGGACTGTTTACAGAACTACTGTGCCAGGAGCAATGGAAGAGGGTGAGTTCTGGGGGAGACTCAAAAGCAGTGGCATCTGGTCCAGGAAGGCCAGGGTGCCGTCTGAGTCGATCTCCACTGCTCTAAAGGAATGTCCTGTGGAGGCCACAGAACACCATACTTGCTGGTTTTTGAAAGTTTAGGTACAGCACAAGGATTCTGTTTGCCTACTTGCCTACCTCCCCCGGCTGAGGTACCATAAGGACATTGCCAGTCAAGTTCCTGAGTGTGGGGCGTTTACCCAACACCCCCACAGTTCCCCAGAGTTTTCTTGAGTGCAATCAGCAGGAAATATTAGATAGAAGAATTTATAGCAGAGAATCTTGCGGAGATAAACAGATAGAAAATAAAGGATAGCGTCGAGACGGCCTGGAACCTATTCCAACGGGCCCCGACTGTCTCTGCCCCAGGGTTTTTATAGAGACGCCAAGGGGTGGAGCAAAAGACCTCCTTCCCTAGCACAGCCAAGTGCAGACCATCTCAGACACCTGCACTCAGGCCCCTGGTCCTAATCATCCTCTATGTGGACCTGCTGGGTAAAGCCACGAGGAACCCGAGAACGGGCTCCCATACCTGAGTGGCCAAAGTTCTGCAGCAAAGAGTATGAACGTGAGGATCAAGAGCCTTGAGAAATCATTCCTGTACATGGCAGACCAGTAGATGTTCCTGAGCCAATCTCTCACACTGTCTGGAATTTGGGGGCCTTTATTTTCCCAGTGGCAAGACTTATTGGTTCTCTTGGACTCTACACAGTCCTTGGATCCATGAAATAATTTTCTTCTTCCTGCTCTTGCCTCTTTTTGCTCCCCTTGTGCCCTTACCATCCTCCTCCTCCTTCTCCTTGGCTGTATCTCTGTACTTCAGACAGGCTTTGAACTTGGAATTCTGGTTGAGTCTCTCAAGGGCTGGGATTACAGGCATGCCACTATACCTAGCTTTTCCATAAAGTAATTTCTTGAGGGAATAGTCTTAAAATAGTCTGGCTTGGTTTTGATTATGTAATGTTTTATTTTCATCCAAGGACATACATAAATGTGGATAAGTCGCAAATGTACAGCATAAGGGATTTTTATAAAATGTAAACAGCACTCAAATGAAAAAACTTGAAAAATATCAGCACCTCAGAGACCTCCTTCGTGCACCCCACTCTACACATCCCCCGAAGATACTTTTGCTTCTTTGAATTGTTTTATGTAAGTCCAATCATATTATATCTAGCCTTTATTCAACATCATTTTAGAAAGTCCACCCATTTTCATAGGAATGTCACTTGTTAATTTTCAATTTTAATTTTTGGATAGGAAGGCCTGGTTACTATGACTTGTAAGGCAGCCCATTATTTTCAAATGAAGCTGTATGGGGCATATCTAAGCTTGTTCCATTATGATGTCAGTTTGCCCTATGTATTATCCAATTGGGTCTTTATAATTCCCACTAAGCTTGAGTACCTCTGTATATGTACAGTAGCTGTGTGTGTGTGTGTGTGTGTGTGTGTGTGTGTGTGTGTGTGTGTGTGTGTGTGTGTGTTGCCTGCACAAAAACATTGGCCATTTTCCTTTGGCATTATGTGTCTTTTTAGTGATTTACGGCCAGTGATTTACGTATGGTATAGTTTAAAATGATAAGCTGTATTTTTTTCTTTTCCTCCCCTCCCCATTGCCCTCTCTCTACTGAGAAAGACCAAGGAGTGTGGTAAGATTAAAAATCTGGGGATAAAGGGACGTTGAGCAGTGCTATCCATTTTAGAAATGATGAGAATACTTCTGTTAGGTCCAGTATAGTAGCCACTGGCCTCATGTGGTGATTGAGAACATGAAAGCATGGCTATTTTTACAGAGGAACAGTTTTAATATTTCATTCATTTTATTTTATATGTATATGTGTTTTGCCTATATGTACAACTCTGCACCACATGCATGCAGTGCCTACAGTGGCCAAAAGAGGGCATCAGATCTCCTGAGAGTGGAGTTCTAAAGGGCCATGGTCTTTTATGTGGGTGCTAGGAATTAAACCCTGGGTCCTCTGGAAAAGCAGTCAGCACTCTTAACCACTGAGCCATCTCTCTAGTCCCTTTCGTCAATTTTAATTAATGTAAAGTAGCCATATAGTGTCAGATGCCGAAAACGTAAGCAGTATAGGTTTTGTAGATGAGTTAGCCAGATGTGAAGCAGCTGGCAAGGAGGGCAGCTGAGTTATGGGAAGGGTGTGTGTGTGTGTGTGTGTGTGTGTGTGTGTGTGTGTGTGTGTGTGT